AGTCTGTGGTGTCTTGTAGGGACATATCCATCCATCCATGTATCTATATGTATATATATATATATATATATATATATATATATATATGGTGTATGTGTGTCTTTTCTATTCACTTCTTCCCCTACCTGAAGAGAATATTCAATTTCTAAATAGAAGGAATTGTTCTTGAGATTTTTACTTGTTGTAAATGACTTCCCAATGTGCTAAACAATTTTAAATTGTTATTAGCTCTGAGAGCTAGGCACACCTATGTAAACACATTAGTACCTGCCAGAGCTGTGAGAAGAATTTGTGAACAAGACAGCTGAGGAAGACATTGGCCTCTGCTTGAATTCGAAGACTCCCAGGAGAGATCAAAGGACGGCTTAAGGACACTTAGCTGCCTGGAGAGGAGAGAAAGTACCCACTTTCACAGCACTGTCTTTGTTGCTGGGCATGGCACAGCCATGCCATTTGACAGACTGACTCAGAACCAGGTTTGCAAAAACCTGCTTTTTGCCACAGAATACGTTAGGACCAAGGATCATCTTTTAAGGATTTAGTTTGTGGAACTCACTGAGGATTCTGTGGACAGAAATACCATGTTTTTGTTCATTTACTAATGATCCGACAATGGGACACGTAATGTTTAAAATTAAACACTTAGTAATCCTGGTATGATGGTGAAAGTTAATCACACAAATTATTTCCATAATAACAACAGAAAACCACTTATTAGTTAATACTGGAAAACTTTACATGAGCCTCTGGAAAGAGGTTTATATTCAATCCCAAAATGCTTATCTTTACCAAGTTATTATGTCTTGATTCTCTGCTTCCACAGCCTTGTTTATTTTGGCTTTGGTCTTGGTAAAGATTATCATCATTAATATCAAGCAAAAACATTTTAATTGCTAACATACCAAGGATTTCATTAGAAAACCTACATGCCGTCTATAGCACTGAAAGTCACATGAACTCTTTGGGAAATATTTGTTCTATTTAATGAAGAGTCTTTCATAGGCAAACATATTCCAAACAATTTCTCAAGTTACCTAGCTAAGAAAGATAGAGAGGGTTTGGTTTCCACACACTGAATAAAATCCATCAACAAGTAAAGTCCATGAATTGATAAAAGCATTCTGCTGCTGAACAGCTTGTTTAGAATTCAAATCTTATTATAAATATATGTGTAACCCTAAAATACAGTTCATGTAATCCATGATAGTATTTTATGTCAGTCATACAACGAATTTGGGGTTTGAAAATATAAGCATAGATACACATTTTAGTGCAAATCTCGAGTCTCAAGAAAAAATTTCATAGATTTATAATATGCATGGCTATTGAAAACACAGACCACCCAGATGTACTTACACATATTTTGGTAGAATAATCTGATTAATAAATGTTTTAATATTTATTTACAAAAGTTATACTGTAATTTGGAGATTACTAGCTGGCTGCTTTTGAGAAAGAAGTTTTGCAAAACAATTGCCAATGAGCCAAATCATTCTGCAGACCATAAAATGTTCCTTCTTCATTTGCCAAGGCTTCTCTTTCAGGGCACATAGTGGTTGAGGGCACAAGCTTGCAACCATCAATAATTGTCTGGTGTTGAGTCTGGCTTCATACTCACCAGATGGAGGCAACTTTGTACCGAAGGAATCCTCTTCTCTGAAATAGAGATCCCAAATGTAGTTGTTCGATTGTAGGAGGATTAATTAAAAAAGAAACTGCTAAAAATGGTCCATTCATCTTACTTGTTACGATTACATTCCCTAGCTACAGCCAGCAAAGAAAGAGGGAGCCATGGCTTTTAATGTTATAAAACAAAGGAAGGCAACACTACAGAGAACCAGGACTAAGAAGGAACAGTGACTAGTTCAGAGTTGTACAGTAGCAGCCTGGGTTTAGCAGGTCAGAAGGAGACCTTACAGAGACTCAGGAGTTTCCTGCATTCCATATCCCACCTGCTTCAGAGACTCAGGAGTTTCCTGCATTCCATATCCCACCTGCTTCTCTCAAACTTATAAAAGGGATTGTATGTCAATGTTAGTTTCCTCTGTTAAACTTTTTGCATTTGGGGGAAGCATTTTAAAAGAACCTGGACTTATCCATATGCTCAGAAAATAAATGAACTATAGGTAAAGCATGACTAATCTCCAAGCTCAAGATCTGAAATTCTTTGAAATCCAAATGATTTCTATTTTTATTTTCACTGCTGACAATCGTGTTCAAAAAGTTTCAGGTTTTAGATTTTTGAGTTAGGGGTGTTTGACTTTAATGTCAATGCAAATATTACAAAGTCTGAAAACCTTTGCAAACCGAAACACTCCTGGTCCCAAGTATTTTTAATAAGGGCTTCTCAACCTGTACTAGCCCCAAGAAGAAGTCAAGAAAAGGGGCAAGAGAGCACTCCCTACCTGCGGGGTATTCTGCCTGCAGGTTTTCAGTAGGAAGTTCAGCCTTTGGTGGGTTGGGACACAAAGTTGGGAAATACTGAATTCAGTGTGATTTTTGCATCTGAGCTAAAGAATGACTGGGGAGGAAAAGGAAAATGTAGACTTTAAGGAGTAGGGGCAAGGTTAGAGGCACCATTTACAGAATGCAAAGGAGAAGTAACACTCAACAGAAATGGCTTGCCCTTCTCCCCTTTGTGTTTCTAGGTGGTCGCTTCTTCCTGAGGTTACAGGATAAACAAACCTGGCACACGTTGTAAAATCCTCATGGAGTAGAACTCCTGGGGCTTTGCTGTTTGGGCCAGTTAAGAGGTTTCATGTGTGTTGTTGTTGTCTTTTGACCTCAATCATTTAACCCTTCCATCTCTTGAAGTAGCCTTCCCTTCAAAGAGACCCACCCCTCAAGAGACAAATTGCTCCTTTCTTTTATCTTTCTGTTTGGAAAACAAACTCAAGTCAAAGAGCACTTGATATTCCAGTCTTTTAGGGACTAGTGTAGTTCAAGAAAGTGGGGTAACTGGCCACTGTTGTCACTGGGTATTTCACAGTCAGGAAGGCCAAGGAATGAAAAAAATTGGACTAATTTAGTTGATCTTTTAGGGGAATAAAGAATTTTGTTTGAAATTTCTTACAAGAAGATTCTAGTATATTGAAAATTCAGCTGTCAGTTTAGAGCAAGTAAATCTCACCCAAATCACCAAGTAGAGAACAGTAAGAACAAAGAAGGTGAAAAAGCAAGCATGAGATGCTAAAAAGGAAAATACAAACTCTTCCTAAATATTCTTCCCTTCTAATCTCAAGTGTGAGGTCTACATGAAATACTAGCCTGCTCGGTTTAATTGAAACAAAATCCTTCCATCTCATCTTTCCCCTTTAACTTAAACTGAGAGAAAACACCCAAGTAAATGGGCATAAGTGGTGTCTAAATAAAAAATACAGCTCTTCTTCACCTTTGTACACATGTCCTCACACTTTTTCCAATTAAATCAAATGAAGGCCACAGTTGTTCATGTAGAAACTCACCAATATTTTAATATTACACCCAACACCAGATCCTCACACATTTTATATACAACCCATTATTCCATATTTCAAATATATTCTTTAGTTTTACATGAAATGAAAGTACTAAGACTTTTTACAAAAATACATTAAATACCAGTAAAATTAAACGTTCCTACTTTGCTTTAGACAGGAATGAACTTCTTTGTATTTGACACAGAAGGGTCACCATAATAAAAGTAAATATATTATAAAAACCAACCAAACAAAAACAAAATCAGGGTGCTAGACCTAAGCCACAAGCGTTTCCCCAAAAATAAAGCCCAAAGACGAAAGGCTTTTCATTTGAGTTGGCACTACAGTTTGGTTTTGAGTATGTCTCCCTGCCTTTCATAAACTCTGGGGTCTCTGTGCCCTATCCTAAATAATTAGGCGAAAGGGGGATCTTCCTGCTGAGTGCAGTGTCCCAAACGCTGGCCTCGAGTTACTTCTCCACCACCTCCTCCACGCAGGCGAGTTTGCGTTCCTCAGAAGAAATACTGTCCACGATGGAAGAAAGGCATTGAAGACTGCTGGAGGCCGACGAATCAACGCTTCCTCCTCCTGAGCACCGGAAACAAACAGACACACGTACATAACACCAGGGCACCTCACGTCCCAGTCCCCGCTTAAGGCCCCAAATGAGGACTGCGTTCCGATTCCGGCTAGCACTAAAGCAGTCCCATCTCTGCACTCACTTTCCATCCCTGTCTGCCAGACCAGATTACCCCAGCGCTGACCAGTATGCTGCCAATGCAGCCCAGTGCCCTTTCCTTTACATTACCTTCCTTAGCAGTTATCACGAGCCCCCTGGAATGATCTGAAACACTTGGCCACTGGGAGCTGCAGGTGCGCAGGAAATCCGCACCCTCGAGCTGGAGGGGAAAAGCAAAGCAACAGATTAGGAAAGAAACAAATTCCGGGAGGAGGAGGAGGGAAGGAGGAGGTTTGGGGGTGGGGTGGGGGGGAGTTCTTCTCGACTTCCTTGGGCTTGGACGCATTTCCTGCTTAGGGAAGGGACCTGGTGTTCTTGGATCACCAGGGGTTTCATTAGAGAGGTCAAGGAAGGGGCAAGCAAGAAAGAGGGACAGGAAAAGAGACAAGCAGGTGGAGGTTAAGGCCCCTGGAAGGCGTTTAATCAGCCTTTCCACTTCCCTGTCCCGGCAGCATCTGGGCTTACAATTTCTTGCTTGGGTCTGTAGCTGTAGGGGTCCACCCCCAGCTCCTGCATTTTCTCTTGCTGATCCAGACGATGCAGCAGATCCTGCAGCCGCTCGATGTAGCTGATGGCGCTCCGCAGAATCTCCACCTTGGGCAGCCTCTGGTTGGGGTTGGCCACAGTCCTCCGCTTCAGTGCCTCGAAGGCCTCGTTGATTTTCTTTAGCCTTCTCCTCTCGCGCAGGGTGGCGGCTTTCCGCCTGTCAGTGGGAGCAGATTTTCTCTTGCAGGTCTTGCAAGCCCAGATCAGACACTGGCCAGGGCAGTGGGAGGGCTGCAGGCCTGGGGGAGCCAGGACGTGCTCCTCTCCGCTGCTTTCGCTCCCCACTTCCTGGGGCATTTGGTCCTGGCAAGGGGACAGGGTACCATCACTCCCTGGATATAAGGGAGAGCCCTCTGCCACTTCTAAGGGCTGCAGAGTCACATTTTCTCCATCCAAGTAGAAGAAATAGGAACCAGTTTCAAAAAGGTCCATCATCATGTTCTTCTCTTTGGCCTCTGACTGATTTGAACTGGGTGATGGACTCAAAAACCCAGAGGAGCCACCCAGATCGCATTTAATTAGTGCGGTGACATAAGTCGACCCAGCTTTATATATAGTAGCTCCTGAAACTCAATCCAACTTTTAGCTGTCATGGAGCATCAGTCTCCCAATGTGATTACAGCAAGTGCTCAGTAGAACATCTAGTTTGAAAGAAAATGGAGAAGTGTCAACTCCCAGAGTGATGTGACAGCAGTCTACAGGTTAAAACAAAATACACAGAGAGAAGCACATCATTGAAAGTATTCAGTGCTTCCATTTTGGAGAGTTTAGACACTAACCTGCTTATTGGGCAACTTCAAAACAACTGGGGATTAGCACTGCTCTGTTCCCCTCCCTCCAGGGCTCATCTGAATTCTAAATATAGTCTTATGATGAAAGATTTCAAAGGCAATACCGTTTGCTCTAAAATAGCCTTGTTAATATTTGCAGTGTAGTTCGGCTCTTTTCTCTGTTCTGCCTTTCAAAAAGATGCTATTCCTGTGATTAAAACCATTACAGTCCTTCAAAGGTTACACATGACTTTCAGGCTTCAGCCTCAGTAAAAGCAGGTAAATAATCTCTTTCCTCTCTTTTACTAAGACTGTTAGATGATGTGGGAGATGAGGGGTGGCTGAGTGGTGTTCATATCCCATGTTACTGTATGAAATGAGTCATGATTCTTTCATAGTGGCCTTCCTTGGCTACCTTTTAATATAGCATGAGTGGCAACCAAAATCTGAATTCTGCTTCCTTCCCCAGTTGAAGCAACAGCATATGAAGTTAGGAGCAAGACAGGGGACAGGATACAATACATGCAACAACCTCGCCTTAAAAATAGTTTTAGTTAAAACAAGGCACACAACAGCTGCTTGGTATTTCAGAGTGCATGTGGGCCTCTCCCAGGTGCTTTTGTTCTATACATGGGGTGCTTACCATCCACATGTTCATTATCCATTGAATCCACACAAGTTGGTTACTAGGATAAGAAAGGTAGCCAAGGCACATGAAATAAAAAAATTTATTGTATCGTGTCTGTAGTACAATGCACGCATGTATGGTTCAAGATGCAAAGGTGAAGAGTACAGGGCTCCTAGAGTCCAAAGAACTCAGTTCTAGCTAAATTGAGTCCTATTTATATGTCTATGGGTAAGTACTATTTCAAGATAATAGTGGTTGCCTTTCCCATTTCAAGTAAAGATTCAATAAAATGTTATCTTACATATGACTCAGAGAGCAAATTGCTGTTGAGGGAACATCAGTTATATATAGGATAAAGCTAGAGCAAAGTATTATGAGGCAGACCAACTACAGCTATGAAAGTGAAAAAGGTTTTACGTCTGCTGTCTGCTTGTCCTCACCTCTTCTCTCGCCTCTTTATTTGATTTTATATTCTTCTCTAGAACTCCTCCATTAAGGAGACCCAAAACTTGAATGCTAAGTTTATGTATTTGTTGTTGTGTAGATGCATAATCCCGTATATCAAGTCTCAGAGCCATCCTTGAACTTTGGGATGGCAGGAAGCATGGGAAGAGGAAGGAGAAACCAATACGAATTTTGTGTTATTTCCTTCCATTTCTACCAACTGTCTGGTCACCACAGTCAAGATTAAGCCTGCAAATTGAAGGCTTCAGAAACACATGGTATTATCTAACTTTGCTATGAAAAATGAACTTGTATTTTTAGCCATGTTATGTTATCTCTTATGCATATAAAGACAATTTCAACAATTAATTTTTACAACACAATTATATAACACTGTTGCTCAAATAAATAAAATATCGGTGACTGAAATTCAGCTATTCAATATTTAGTTTTATCCACTAAATTCCAGGTAGTGCCCCAATCCCTCTTTTCACAACTCTAATAATTCTCTCTCCTCATAGAATTGCATCCAGAGGGAGAAATAAAATGGACAAAGGCACAGAAGCAGGGGCAGGAAAGGGGTGAGAAGTGGCTCTGGAATTGGGATATTGAAGACCTAAAAGGTCAAACAGAATGTTTCAAGTTCTTACAATTTCTTCATAAAACTGGTATAATGGCAGTAAATCCATATTTTCAAGATTTTTTATGAAAATGAAATTTTTAAAAACATGAAATCACTTTTAAAATGTAGCACATTTGGAGAGGGGGAAAAGGAAGGAGTGATGGGAAAAGTTTGACCAATAAGAACTAAGTTACAGATAGGAGCAAGAAGTACCGGTATGCAAATACACAGTTAGGCGACTATAGAGAATAATAATGAAATGATACATATCGAAACAGATAGATAGGACTGGTGAGATGGCTTAGTGTTTATAGTGCCTGCTGTACAAAATGAAGGCCTGAGTTTGAATCCAAAACACCCACATAAAATGCCAGGGGTCTAAAATGATGGATGTAGTAGTACATGCCTGTAACCTCAGCACTGGGGAGGATAGAAACAAGGGGTTCCCTGGGACTTGCTGAGCAGCCATTCTAGGCAAAAAAAGGTAGGTTCTAGGTTCAGAGAGATACTTTGTCTCAAAAATTAAGGTGGAGAACAATAAAAGATATAAGTTGACCTCTGACCTCCACAATCTATGCATACAGTACACAAATACACACACACACACACACAAACACACACACACACACCACATACACACAACTTAAAAGAAGGTATTTTTAAAGTTTTCAACATAAATGTTGACTGCTTAGGAGATATATTAAACTTGATTTTAATTTTACTTAATGTATCCCTCTATCAAAACCTTACATTGTACTGCATTAATGTATAATTCATGTTTTATGTATCAATTAAAAAAATCAATTCAAACTGAAGCTTTGAAATCATAATAAAATACCTTTATTACTAAAATTACTAAGCACAGAGAAATAAGATAAAAATATTACTACTAAAGAATTTTGAAGAGATACTCACTCAGACAAAAACCCAGCATAGAACTGGGGAAATGGGCAGCAGGCCTCAACATTAGCAGAGGCGCTCTTGGCAACAGACTACTGCTGGGTGAGGGAGAACTGATCTTTAAGGGAGAGACTCTAGACAGACTGACTAGACTCCAGTGGATGAGCTTGCACCAAGGGACATCTGGGTGGGTACAAATGCTTGACCAGGCCTTAACATATATGACAGAATGTACGAAATCTGGTGAATGGAGGTTAGAGGGTATGTAGATGGTAGAAGGGGGTCTAAATATTTTTAATATCTATTATATGAAATGCACAAAAATTCAATAAAAATATACATTAAAATGAAAAAAAATTGAAGAAATAAGGATTAAGGTACAGTCATTCTTAGACTGCTGACTTTAAGAAGTACAAGGTTGGGGCTGGACAGGTGGCTCAATGATTAAGAGCACTGGCTGCTCTTGCAGAGGCTCTGGGTCCAATTCTTAGCATCCACATGGTGGCCAAAAACCATCTATAACTTCAGTTCCAGGGGATCCAACACCCTCTTCTGGTCTCCAAAGGCATGGCACAACACAGGTGCACTTACATATATGTAGGCAAACCTCATACACATAAAATAAAAATAAATAATTTTATAAAAGAAGTATGAGGTTGATGTTTGAGAACTGATACATCACAAACTTTCTCAAGAACATGAAAGTTCCCCTTCTTCTTTGTATTTTCCTTATTCAAAGTCCTCTCTTGAGAAATGGTCAGTATAGAAACATAGAACATGAAGGCTTTGTAGTGGAATTAGAAAAGCTTGGGTAAATCGACCTCCTGATCAAAGGTGGCTTTTCTTCCTTTAAAGTCAACCTGTACCCTGCTGAATTGTTCCTTACTAAATTCTAAACCCTGTTCCCAGAATGTTGCAGAAATTAGGAAAGACAGTAAAAAGGTACCAGTAATCCCTTTGGTTTAAACAGATTTCTACAGCCAGCACCTCTCCACTTCATTCATTCATTCATTCATTCATTCATTTTTTGTTGTTGATGTTTTGGAAGTTGTAGGCAGGAAATGGGGTGAAAATGAGGAAATGTCATGTTGGGCAATGTGAGATGTGTGTAATTGCAATTACGTTACTTCTTCATAGGATGTGAGAGAGACACAGTTGTTGACAAGTGGTCAAATAGGCTGATGCAAATTGAAATCATACATTTAAAATAGTTAAAATATATCTTCAAAACTATGGAATGATGGGGCTGGAATGATGACTCAGAGGTTAAGAGAACTGGATGTTCTTGCAGAAAACCCGGGTTCAAATCCCAGCACCCACATGGTGGCTAACAACTGTCTACAACTCCAATTCCTGGGAATCCAACACCCTCTTCTGTTCTCAGCAAGCACTGCACAGCACAGGTAGACTTACACACATGTAGGCATAACACTCAAACACATAGAAATAAAAATAAACAAATCAAAATTATGGAACACATAAATAACAATAAGAAATTATATTGTCACTAATAACCCACTCCCAAAAACCTAGGGTTCATTCAAGATAAAACCTTGAAACTAAAACCTTGAATAATAGAATTGAAAGATTTTTAGTAGTTTACTGCTCATTATTCTTAATTCATGATTGGTTACTTTTAAGTATATTTCTTGCCATCACGTTCCAAAAAAAAAAAAACAAAAAAAAAACAAAAAACTTGAATGTGTCTAATTCTTCTCCATGGAAAGGAAAAGGAAGGAAAGAATTATGGGCAACTTAGCAATGTATTTTAGCTATGAGCCCTTAAGAAAGTGCTGTATTGTGGTGGAAAGAGAACTTTGGAAAATACGGAATTTAAGTTCTAGACATCCTTGTGAGCTCCAAGTCTCAGTTTCATCATATTACTATGAAATCAAATAATATATGAGTGCATACTGTAAATGGTTTCCTCCTTTATTCAGAAGGTTTCTGTTGAAACAGTCATGGTGAATCAATTATTAAACTTAAGATAACTTTAAGAATGACACTTAAGATAAGTTTCGGGGGTTGTTTGCATTAAAGATATCATATTGAAGTGAAAATGTTACAAACAGCAGCTCTGCTAATAGTGTTCCATGTGCTTGTGTCCTTGCTAAAATTTCAGTTTTCAAAGGTATTCTACTTGCCTTCAATTG